ACTAGATAAAAAATGGTTCAAGCAAATATTACAGAAGAATTTTTTATGTCCTCGGCGGGACAGCTGTGCAGATAACAATGCTGACATATTTTTAATCCATGCAAAATGGTAGTAGCTGTTACTCGAATTGTGAACTTTCGCGCTTTTGCTAGGAACCAACACCAATAAATTGACAGTTTTTCTATTATCAACTTTGCTACTTAACATAAAAGGAAATATATTTCTTTTATCTACGCAATATAAGTTAATGGAAATGTCATTTAAGTCCTCAAATATTTTAATATCTGTTAGTTTAATAGGAAATTTAATCGATCCACGTTTTAATACTTGATCAAAATGAGGATAATTATTTACTCTATCAGCATTTTTATCAACAGGGTACAAAGCGGCGACTATTGACCACAGAAAACAAAACTGATCATTATTCTTTACGTTAATAACTGCTCTTTTAGGCTATGAAAGGAGGAACTTTAACGTATGTTGAAAATCCACCTCTAATGGGTACGTAACTATTAATATTGATTTTGAGATTTACGATATCCGATAATGCCCAACCTGAATTTTTTTCGGAAAAAGTTTCTAACTTTGTTTGAATTTTATCGAAAACGTTTTCTCTGTACCATTCCTTAAGATTGGTACCGACATCAATCGGCGCATTTTTGGTCTGGAATGTTTTCAAGTCTATAATACCAGTTTGAGGATGAATAAAATTACAAGTTAAGATTACGTTTACTTTTAACATAGATCGTGTTAAAGCTACCTTAATTTTGCGTAAAAAACAATCGTACGCATGATTTATAAAAATTAGGGGATCCTTATAATCAAAATTAGCAATAACACCAGTAATTAAACGACCATTGAAGCAGGAGTCTAATGTGTACCACGCTAGTTTACGTGATCGATTTTTATTGTTGACATCGATCCCACAACCCCTTTTATTCGAGGAAAAATTCTTTAATCGCTCTTGTAACGTGGCCAAATAGGTTTTCAAGAGAGCCAAATTAGATTCGAGTCTCGAAGAATTTTCATTCGGATTATTCAAATGAATTTGATTAACAATAGCTCTTTGCAATATTCGGATGTTGGTTTTAGCGATTGAAATGTGTTTAACAATTTCAGATTTCTTTTTTAAGAGTTTTGCGGAATGTCGAGTTAGGTTAACGATCTCACTGCTGATACTCGAAACAGATTCCATACTTACTATGCTGATCAAAGGGTTTTAATTTTTATCTGTGTAAATCCTAGAAATGCAGCACAGTACCAACACTTGTGCGATTAGATCACCTAGGTGTACAACCGAGACACCATCCGAAAGATACTCTCTATACGTAAGTAAATCTCGGGAACAGAAACAGATCCTCTTTATATAAGTGCAAAGCAAAGGTTGTTGCACGCGCATGACCTACTTTCTTCTATACTGGAATAATTTATCGGCAGGTGTGGGTTTCTTTGACTTTTAACCTGTCTGAGCAAAGTTTACATAGCGTGAGAGTTTATCCTAATGTTACTTAGAATTTTCTTATGCGGCAGGTGTAAGTTGCAGTTTTTTGTTTAGACCTTTAACAGTCAACCTGCCTGGGCAAAGTCTACGTCCCGGGAGAGTTTATGCTAACGTTAACAAAATTTTCTGAGTATATACCCATCCCCATGCCTTACATGAAACAGTTCACGAATGGCTACGATGCCGGCATCAAAACGCGTGAAACTTTCCACCACAAAAAGTGTTCAAAAAAAAACAAGTGACAATTTACCCACACTAAAGGATATGCTGCAAAGCAACTTATCCAAAACTGCAGCACAACAGGAAGACATCATCAATTTGGTTACCGAAGACGAGGGTGGTCAAACTGAGAGGTAAATATGATTTTTTTGTGTAATTGTCTTACCAATAGGTTCAAGACATGATAATAACATTACCGTATTTTTTTTTTATAGAACTACAACTACCCATCTACGGAACAATAGTACATACAGTACTCTAGATGAGTTGCTGGACCACTTGGATGGTAACATCCATCATGTATATGCACCCCAAAGGTAAATAATAATTCATGATGTAAAAAATAGCATGAAATTAATTTTTTCCCTTTTTTTTTTAGAGTAATACCCACACCAAAGCTCAGTGACGCATCGTTGGAGCACGGCCTAAAAACAAGCAGTGTCAATAACATACTGTAAGTTATTTTAAAAGTGCACCGAAAAAACGTCTAATACTTTTAATTTATATTTGCAGTCATTATCAACATCATGCAAGTGCTGCAGCAGCGCCTCCTGCTCCAATATTACCCTCAACATCTACCAGTTATCAATTACAGTAAGTTGCAAAAAATGTAATCAAAATTAACCTAACATTAATATTTGTGTGTTTGTTTCAGTATCCCAGAGGCAACAGCGCAAATACTGCAGCATATAATCATCCCACCACCCCCGCCACCGCCGATAGAAGAAGAGAAACAACAAACGAGTACCACCACCACAGGTCTGCATCCTCAGTAAGTGTTGCTTTGAAATTTTAGCGAAAAGAATGTTCTAATATTCCTATTCTCTTTATTACAGACATGCACAGAAGGATATGAAAGTGTTGAGGGAAGTGTTCGAAGAAGCTTATGAAACAATCTCCCAGCCGCCTTCAACATCAGGAGTGCCACAACCTTCAGACGTCGCTCCCTCCTGGTTCGAGCCCTCTACGCCTCGAGAATTAGGCAGGGCGTCGCTGGCCTGGTTGGAACAGAAGGCGCCGATATTTAGACAACGTTATCTCGAGGCGCAAGAGAAAACCAGGAGGTTGGAGGAGGAAGTTGCGGCAGCACGCCTCAACGAACGACGTCTGGAGGAAGAAGTAGCATATATTGAAAAATTTGTTAATTTTTTAAAATAAATTTGTAAATAGGTAATTAGCTTTTAGAAAAATAATGTAATTTGCAGGTATAGCTTTTAGAGAAATAAATGTAGTTGAACAGACGGTTAATTTTTTATTTAAAGGGAATAAAACGAGCAACCTATAATGATATAATTCGTTTGCCAACGAGAATGGTAAAACGAGCAATTTAAGTATAATTCGTTTGCGTTTTAAGTATGAGCGTAAATAGGTCGATTTTAGCAGTGCATAAATACGTAGATTTATTAGTGATCGCATAGAAAAGAAGTTTGCATAACGCTTACTCCCACGATCTTGCTTAAGTATAGGAGAATGGCTAGCTGGGGGACACGGCGGGTCTGTATGGATGCAGTTAATGCATTCTCTAATACGGTACCCGATGCATACACTTAATAGCGCACGCAAAACCGCGGTCGCCCGCGCCAACCATCATTCCTACTATAGGTGCTGCTAATTCAGGGAGACTCCGCGGATATTAACGAGATGCAGTAGTAACATTTTCTCATGAAAAGCCGACGCTGGTAATGTAGGATCATCGCTTCCGCTGTATCGAAAAGCATCGCAGTAAATCCCGCTAAATATACATTAGGTATCGGAGCAATTTTTGTTAGGTTTTAAACAAAATATTGTTAACATTTGTGCTCTACCTTAAAGTACCACTCTTTTGAATAAATGTACCATTAAGTTCATTAAAATTACTTATATTTAAATACTACTTGTAGGAGTGATACGTTTTAAAAATGTAACTTTAATGTAGGTACTCTAATATTCTCAATATAAAGGTGAAATGAAGATTGAGAATAAGTTCTCCGCGGAGATAAAACGTCTATTTTTACGTAGTACATATGATAATAGGTCAAAGACATGCACAACTAATGCGCTCGATTGAAATTTCTTAATTCCATAGAATGTAGGAACAGTTTTTTCCTTCACCTAAATTCTAAAAGGCTCCAAAATTATCCACCCATTAACTATTATGAATAACTTTCCCATTAAATACCGTAAAACATTTACTCCCAGACGATAAAACTACTTCATTTTGTATTGTGCGCTCCACTCTTGAAACAATTAAGTTCCCCTAAGTTATAAAAATTACTTATATTCAAATACTACTTCTACTAGGGATACGTTTCGAAACGTACCTCGATAATAAAAATAGTGTACTCTAATATTCTCAATATAAAGGTGAAGTGAAGATTGAGAACACGTTCTTCGCGAAGATAAGATGTGCCATTTTTTTATGTATTTTACGTATGATACCCATTAACTATTATGAATAACTTTCCCATTAAATACTTTAACCGGAACTCTTTTACTCCTATATGATAAAACTACTTAATCTTTTTGCTATTCACTTTGTAGGTGGTTTGGATTTGGACTAGTATAAGTAAATTAGGTGCATTCAAACAAAGTTTATTGGATGCATGTTTACAAAAATTTTTGTTTAGCGAGTAATTATTTTGTAAACTTATTTAATTGTAGCTTCTTAGTCTCCATGAAAAAATTCTATACAGAAGGTCTTCCAGCCCGAGAACTCCATAGACGAAATTTCTTCCACCACATCACTCATTTTAAATTTAACTTCTTCATTCTACGTTGGCATTGAAGCAGTTCAATATCCCACTTTAATTTCTTTAAATTTATTAATAACTCCTCAAGTCTCTTCTTTTGCGATCCCTTTGATTTTATCACGACTGCTCTAATAGTTTTTGTCATCTTGCTGTCTATTAATTAAGCCTAACAACCCTAACAGATCACTTTATATTCCCGCAAGTTAACCACGCCCTCGTAAGGCATCCCCTCCCTCGAGGTAAATCGTTGACCTTTGTTTAGTTTACAACAAGGCGCAATTAAGATCGTTAACCTTTGAGAGCTCTAGTTTTAAAGTCGCCGCCAGGGGGAGAGGTATATGACCTTGACGACACTAGAAAATCACCTTATGGGATTTTACATGGAGTTGAGTTAGGATCGGCCCTATATGGCTATCGTTAGGTTATTAACCTCTCTATTTAGTCACCTTCAAATGACATTGACACTAGAAAATCGCCTTATGGGATTTTACATGGAGTTGAGTTAGGATCGGCCCTATATGGCTACCTCTGCAGCTCCTAAACGCCAACAAGACAGCCTTCTGTGCATCTATACCGCTAAAACATGTGCTAGGATTCGCGGAAGGGTATAAAAAACCATTAGTCAACATACGACAAGAACTAACATTAATTCGCTCAAAAACCGATGAAGACTGTTATAAAAGCGAAGCGGAGGTGAAAATTAGCCTTAGTAAAGTAACCTGGAAGGTTCCATACGTAATTCCTAACGATTCCATGAAGCTGTCTATATACAGTAGAATTGATAAAAATGTTCCGATCCAAGTAGCATTTCACGCTAGAGATTTATATGCGTATCCAGCATTGCCATCAACCCGCTCTTTGGTATGGCCGGTAAAAAGTAGCACCGGTTTTCAACGACCTCAATGGCTTCTGGTGGCCTTTCAGACTAAGAAACGAAACCAAAAAGGAGAGAATGCATCGCAGTTCGATCATTTAGGCGTCGAAAATATAAAAGCGAACATCAACAACAGAAGATACCCGTATGAGCAGCAGAATCTCTCCTTCGCGGACAACAAGTATATAGATGCCTACGAAGAATATCTAAACTTTCGGACGCAATACTACGATTCTGAAAGTAGTTCTCTTCTCAGTTACGAGGAGTTTAAGAAACAACCAATATTCGTAATCAACTGTACTCGTCACAATGAAAGTATTCATAATGTGGTTATCGACTTGAAACTGGAAGTTGAAACATCTGAAGCATTTGCAGCCGACACCTCCGCTTACTGTATAATTTTGCATGATGTTTTAATTGAATACGAGCCATTTACTAATATAGTACGTAAAATTTAATTTGCATAATTATGCGATTTTAATGTAGCTATTGCGAAAATATATAATACATTTTGAAAATGGTGCTTTTCTTTTCCCTATGTATATATAAACAACAAACTTATCACCAAACTATTTTATTGTTTCTCCTTCAGCATTTTCTCGGTTACATCTTTTACAAATCTTTGAGGGTGAATATTTACAATTTCTGCTAAAAATGAAAAATCTCTTAAACATGAGTGTGCAACCAACTTTTTTAGTAACTTAAGATTTTGACAGAAAAATTTTCCTCTTGACAAAATGTTTTGTTCATCGAACAGACCGTCCTTGCAAAGATCATCCGCTACTTCATCCGCAAAGTCCTGATAGTACCAGTACGTCGAATAATCGCTTAGAAAATCCAATTTTTGATGTACAAAATGTACAGCGGAGAGGAAACGATTTACGGCTTCTTCGGTTAGCACTATGGAATTGAATCCTTGACTTATTCTTATACCCCTACTACCATTTTCACAGTCAGCCAACGTAATTTTTATACCGTACCCTACGAACACTTCATGTTCCAACTGGTCGGTACTTTTAAGCATGAGTCGAATGTTGTGCTCGGTTTTAATAGCGGAAATATCGCTCCATTCGGAAATATTAAAATGCAAACAACTTTCTCGGAGTGGAGGGCAAAATATCTGCACCACTGGCTCGAAACTATTCCTCAATGAATTTCCCACTTCTAGCAAAGTTGAGCAATCGAGAAACATGGACCATGTTGATATTAAATCTTCTGCTCCTACAAGAAACAACGGGCTTAATTAGTAGGGTCATAATTATTTTCACCATGATCATATTACCTGTATGTGCCTCGACTATCTTCGGGGAGGGATTATCGACCCAAGTAAGGTTAATATTTGGATCATCATTCCATAAATCATCCATAATGTCTGCTATTCTCGTAACTAATGAATTTTAATGTAAATGTTGTTTGCTTTTATACGCTAATTTGTAGGTATACCGCTTTAGCACTAAATTCGTAATACGCGGTTCGGGGGCTCATCATACTTAGGGGTCGTTCCCTTATTTCAAGGACATTGACCGAAGCATAAATACAAAGAATGTAATATTAGAATAATGCGTCTAAAAATAAAGCATAAAGAAGATAAGATTTTTCGCACACGATTTAAGCGTCTTATCATAGCTGCTATAAATAAACACTATTGCGAGATTGCAGCTTCCCATCCTAATTATAATAACAAACAACGAAAATCGAATACGATGTAAGAAACATTGGAACCAGCCGTGGCAGCGCACTCACATCGATGGACCCGCTCCGCTAATGATTTATTGTAATGATTGTATTTCGTCAAAGCATATTCGAAAACCAATGTCATATTAGAATGTAATATTAGAATAATGCGTCTAAAAATAAAAATAAAGCATAAAGAAGATAAGCTCATTTCCTTTCTAGTTAGCAATATGAATAATTATTTTTCGCACACGAGCGTCGTACGTATTATTTTATCATTTTAACGCGCTTCCCCGCCAAATAGCCCCTAGCCCCTAGCCCCTAGCCCCTATCGGCGACACACCCCCGCGTTATACCCTTCTACAACTCGCAAACATCTCAACGCTCTCCGTAGCGTTGTGTGGCTTGTGAGCTTATACGGCCTACTAGGGGCATCTACCGCTCCTACTGCTACCCCATACGATTTACCCTCTACGTCCCTGCAATCGCGCTCCCCCCACATTCTAACAATACTTGAACTGCTAAACGTTCATATCTCAAAGCCTCGCTTAGCTCAGATGGTTAAGGCGGCAGATTCGTAATTCACGTATCGTGGGTTCGATTCCCAACGCAGATTGAAAAAAAAAAATTTTTGTCTATAGCAATCACGTGACCGATGAGGCGGGTCCAAAATAACATCCAAGATGCATAGGGGGGCGTGCTCGTCTCTGATTGGCTGTGACGTCACGAGCTCGTCTCTGATTGGTGTGACGTCACTTCCTGCGCCAGAACATACATAGGTATTGGTGTGACGTCACTTCCTGCGCCAGAACATACATTGGTCATCTACTTACATTGCTTGCGTGTATAAATGGTTGCGGACCGAACATCGCAGCAGTCTACTATCGAACGAGGTCGAGTACGAACGAAACATAGAGCGCGAAAAGCTGATATAAATTTCGAAGTGTGTGATATAAATAATCGATATAAATTGTACGGATTTTATAGTGTTTTAATTTTGTTTAATAAATATTGATATAAATCGAACCCGAATTTATAAAACACGTTACAGTAGTTTGCGCAATTTTATTTTGTTTCTCAGAAAGACCGATTACGTACTATACTGCATTCATTATAAGAAGGTAGTAGATGGCGCTGTGTTTGAAGATAAACACGCACAGGAAAAATATAAAACGGCACCAAATTATTGTAAAGTAGAAATATTCAACACTGCGAACAGATATAAATCTTTGACAATATCAACTAATGACACTTCGACAGTTTAGTTGGCAACATATACTACCACTTTACAAAATTCACCAGTCGTTTTATGTTTCATTGTAATACTGACTCGTGTTTTAACCAATCACAGTGAAGGTCAAAGCCTCTCTATGCTTTCGCTACCTTCTTAAAATGAATACAGTATAGTTTCGCATTTTTATCTAATAATAAGTATTTGACGTATGGGTCGTCCTTTTGATTGAAAGTGAATTTACACCATTATTAGAAAAATTATTGCATTTATTAAAATTGATGACATTGTAAAATGATAATGGTGCAGGTGTATTTAAAAAGTGTATGTTATACCAGCATAGTTTTACGTCAGTAAAATTTGTTATTATAAAATTGAAGATCATTCAAGTGTTTAAACAGTGATATTGTTTTATTTATTGTGGCTAATGCTGTTTAATTAACATTAAATTCGTTGCAGTTAGACTTAATTAAGGTAGTATTGGCGAAAGATAGAGGTTCGTGTTAAATTTAAAGTATTACTAATTGTTTTTAAATTTTATCACTTGTGTCTGCAAAACCGGTAAATTTAGAGTCTTTTGTAAATTGTTTGTGAGGATAAGTGTAATTAAATATTGTTGTTGTGACTTTTTGAAGTCAGTAGTGGATTAACAGTCCTATTTATTGTTTGGTTACCCCTGAAGTTCTGTCATCTGTCTATCATTATAGATTGAGGATTGTCAGGTATTTTTTCATCTTGTCTTTCATTATTCAAATGTTCGTTGCGTAATCTTAAAAATGGCGTTTTTAGCATTCTGCATCCCATTTAGAGTGCTTGTCGTATTCTTTGTAGCTATTGTATTCTATTCATACGGGTAGCCCGACCAGACAGCATTTAGGCGCACCGAAGGCCCGGTAGTTTCATCTGTTTCGCCACAGAACAGGACGTGTGCTCTCCTACAAGCCCACTGTTGTGGAGGTGATAGGATTTTGTCCATTGCTCCGTGAGGTAATCTTCCTTATCTATTTCTATTCAGTTCTAGATGCTAAGAAGACCCAGATTTGCCTAGGAAACCTGTTTTAAAGGCCCTGGACTGAGTCTGAGTCCAGTTTTGCACTTATTCCGTTGCTAGTGAGCTGTGGAGGTGAAAAGTGAGTGATGTAGTGTGAATTTACTCTAAAAACACGACTTAAAATTTTGTTTTGTGAAAGGCAAGGACGAAGTGCCATGTTGGTAGCTGCTAAAACTTCCGGTGCCACACCATTAGTAATTTCATGTCGTAATGGTCACTATTTCGGAATTCTTTATCGAGAGCTGTCACAGTCGCTAATAAAACATGGAGCACAGGTAAACAGTACAACACGGACGAAGTCCACACCTTTGAGAGCAGCACATACCTCGTACTCTTTTTATGCAAATACAGATCCGTAAAAACGATTCAATGGAGCACACCACAGACGCCAAAAGAAAGAGAAACCACTCCAAAGATAAATGGTGACAGCCAAAACACTAATCCCGTAAGACACGAAAGTCAGTGGCCTACCAAAAAAAATTACCATGCAAGCTATTGGAAAGCAGAAACTTCACTGAGGGGAAGAGAACGACGCGCAATACTGAATTAAAGAAGAGATAGCATTAAGTGCAGAAAAGTACAAAGCGTAAACCGTACGAGCAAGACAAAGAACTAGGTACAAGAAACCAATAATACTAGAATAACCTCTATCGGCAAAACAAAGAACTAATGTAATAAGAAATTTATACTAAGATAATAACAAATTTACTACAGGATTAACATCTTAAATAGATAAATAAATCGCGTAAGAACCAATAAAGAGAGTAATAATACTAAATATAAGTGTACGAATCAAATGTTACTTAAACAGTATTTAAATGAGTACTTTCAATCGGTAAGAAAATAAATTTACCAGTGTAAAGCTAATACACCAGTCAGGGGTTCAAGGCCCATTTACAGTCTTTTTTATTATTCTTTCCAGGTCAGATGGGAGTCTATGATAACTCCTAAATATATCACTGACCTGGTCAGACCCAGTTGAAGTCCTTGAAAACTGAGCCCATCAGCTCTCTATTCGTAAATGGAGCAACCTGTGTCTTTTCCGGGTTAACGGCTACTTCACTACCTATCCACCTATTTAAGTGGGGCCGGGGACATACCGAAATTATCGGAAATGCGCGTACAGATGAACTTGCCAAGCAAACGGTTAAGAATGCGGAATTTCCATTGCGTACAACAAATTGTCGATTAAAGCCTTGAAGCGACTCCTGCGTGTAAGTATTTTGTCGGAGACCAAGTTCCTGCTCCGTCTATTTTTCAGCTGAAGTCATAGGGCTACGAGATCCCTGATGCAGAAAGAATCATTAGATAAGACTCGATTCATCTGTCGACATAAATTCAAGCCCTAGTTAGCTGTCCCTCTTATAATAAGGATAGTCCTCCACCTGGCCCAGACCTCTTACTCGCTCCCTGTAACCCCTGGGTTCGTCTATGAGGCCTGTGTGCTTTACAGCAAATAGACGGCCCGTTAAACAAATAGTCCATTTACTGTGCTGCAAATTGCTGTGTAAGAAGGTTACTATGTCCATCACTGATGTACTAGGTTCCCCTCTTCTCTAGTGATGCTGACGGTTCTACCCAAAAAGTTCGTCGACATCTTGCTCGACCTCCGAGGGCACCGGTAGTAATACCAACGCCTTTTGGAGGTCGATGACGGGGGATTCAGCCCCCTCCGTCGCAACGGAACTGGGTCCCGGGGCTCCGGTGGAACCCTCTCCCTTACTTGGCGCAACCGGAGCACTCGTGTTCTTCTGAAATGTGAAGTCCGAGACCGCCGCGTGCACTTGGTAGATCTGCGAGAGGATTTTGCCTCCGGAGGCGCTTCGAGATGGTGCCCATATTTTCCTGGAACCCATATAACACCGCCACTACCTTGGTTACTTTAAAGGCGTGTCTCTGCACTGTCAGAGATGCGCCCAATAAGAAGGACGGTCCTCTCCAACTAGTCCATAGTCCATTGGTTATCGCATTTGGTCACAATGATACCCTGCGGATTAGGTGCTTCTTCTTAGACTGCCCTGAGCCATTCATGTTAATAGTGTCTTTTTGCTCTTTGCTAATTCATGATCGCCTTTTTTATTAGTTTGGCTCTTCTCGTAGCTGGTTTTCATTTCTCATTTATATTCCGTTAACCTTTCCGCTCTCTTATATAATTGAATTTTTCCGTTTTTTTAAGATAATTCAAAGGAGCCCTTGTACCTTTTTTGATTGGCCTTTTACGTCATTCTGAATAATCTGTCATTGAACTTTATCCAACCATCAATCATTACACTCGCAAGAGTTACAGTAAAATATTAATCATTTGGCGCAGAACGCAAGGATTCCACTCCTAGGTGATGACATTTAAGGGTGTCAGGTCTGGCATGGTGCTTTCAGTAGGTACCTTTCGGAATACGAAGATTACTTTCTCCGGAAATAAAGTGTGGGGAATTCTAGCTGGAATTATTTTCCTAAATTGTATTTCATTTTTTCTAGTCCTTTTTTCTGAAAATCGCTACAAATACGAGTTTTCATATTATTAATATAGGTAGGATATTGGCCATGTGTCAAAAGCTCCCTGACAGCACGCACGATCAGTACAAATTAAGGACTCATAGTTGAAAGTTATAATAGAGCCCTACGGTCTTTTACACATACCCATGTCAGACCACTTTATTAATTATTTCTGGAAGGCATTTAACCAAATTTGGAATTTAACGCAAACTAAAACGTAACCTCTGCCCG